AGTAACAAGTGTGAGGGAGCCTTGAGGGACTAGGGGATACGGGTGGGCCAGCTAGTATAAAATAAAACAAAATCGGACTCACTGCAGATACGTAGATTTGTATTCTGCTTTTTCACATAATATAATGCCAAGAGCACTGTACATATTTTAAAATAAATATAAATGTATATATACCTTGGAAACCCTGGTGGTGTAGTGGTTAAGCACTACGGCTGCTAACCGAAAGGTCAGCATTTTGAATCCAGCAGGAGCTCCTTGGAAACTCTATGGGGCAGTTCTACTGTGTCCTATAGGGCGGCTATGAGTCGACTTGACTGCAATGGGTTTGTTTACGGGTTTTATATAAACCTTATATAAAAATATATAAATATAAAAATAAACATATTTTAAAATATAAGTTGTTTTCTAATTTTACACAATTTTAAATAATTTGAAAGTAACTACCTTTGTTCAGACTTCTTTCTGTATATCTCTAGTTATTTCCTTAGGATAAACTAATCAAGGCCAATGTTGCTAATTGTCTAGAGCAGTAATTACTAAGCCCATATTTAAAAGAATGCTTGAAGTTGACAGCACACCTAATATTTTTTTATCCTGATGGAGTCTCAAGACATGGAAGTGACATAATAACTTATTTTTTATTATGAACCTTTTGTAATTCTCTATGTTCGGTTGTTCTCAGATGAAAGGAGATTTTTACTCACTGGAAACTGTTATGATCGATTTGCCTGTTGAACTGAAATAGCAAGTTTATCACCGTATTATCAAATGAGCCGATTACTTCCACGAATGGAGAAGTGAATACTTTCTCTATCGGAGAGCCCTTAACAAACCTGGTCTCTCTCTGGAAACATCATCTCACGCAGGCTTAAGGCGAGATGGTTAGAGTCATTAGAATTTTACGTTTTTCTTGTTTGAGGGAAAACACATCTAAATCTCTTTTCCAGTCTCCAACACCTGGCATGCTTTCTCTCCTACTGAAATAGCTCGTGAAAGTTCTTCATAACCACCATGGATTTTATCCAATGGCCTTTCCTTAGCTTTCACTCCTTTGAAAAGAAGGGCTGCAGAGGGTAACATTCATGAACTTTCTCACCTTCTGGGAAACGCTTTCACTGCTTTTCCACTTGGCTTTTCTTAGGCTCCCTCAGTGGTTCCTCGTCTTTCTTTCTTGTAAGCATGGTCGTTCCCCCAAAGCTTAGCCCTCTGTCCCCAGTTCTTCCATCTCTCTCTGTGACCTTTCTCCTTCCAGGAATTGCTTTTCCGTCCATGAAGACGATGCTCAGAGCTCCATTTTCAGATTTCCCCTCTGTTCTTACACAAGGTTTAGTTGACACCTTCCTGACAGAAAATTTTCCTTGGCTACTTGCAAGCACCTAAAACTCTGCAGGGTCAAATCCAAGTGATTATTGTCCACTTCAAAACGGCTTTCCTTATTATTCTCTATCATCTTTAGCTCCTTCTGGTATTCAAGGTCTTCTATACTCTGGCCAAAACACCTTTCCAACTTCATTTTTCACTTTTGCCCACGATACATTTTGGCTGTATTCACCATGCTTCAAACAAGCCTGAGCAATGCTTTCTTCTTGTTTTTATTGAAATTAGGGGAATACATAAAATTCAGAGGTTTAGGCTGGCTTCTCTGTGTAACACTGACCAAGTTTCCTCCAGCTCAGACTTCACAATCAGCATAACATTAATCTCCTTCACGGACATGGTGTGTAACCATTATGTAATACAATAGATGCCAAAGGGCCTAGCAGTCTTTGGCACATTTTAGGTCTGCATTAACTATTTTCTTATCTATTCATTCGTTCATCTTCTATTCCCTTCCACTTCTGACTTTTAAGATCCGACCCTTCAAAACTAACCTTTGTCATGATGACTTGTTTTGTCCCCAAAGTCCCTAAACTCTCTATTCTCACCTCCTCGACGTCTTTGTCTTTTTCAACCTGTGTCATGTAGAGTTGCAAAGCGTTAGTTGACATTCCTCCAGTAGGCTTTCTTTCTGCAAATATACTAAGTTCCTTACAGTGAGAAACTATTTCACACTTGTCGTGTAAATGAGGAGTCCTGGTGGCGCAGTGGTTAAGAGCTCGGCTGCTAACCAAAAGGTCTGCAGTTCGAATCCATCAGCCGCTCCTTGGAAACCTATGGGTCACTCTGAGTCGGAATTGACTCAACAGCAACAGGTTTGTGTGTGTGTGTGTGTGTGTGTGTGTGTAAAGGAAGTGCTAAAAATAATTCATCCAGAATTCCACTTATCAAACAAGTTTCATACCAAGTTAGCACACTGCAGTAGATGGGAAAAAGTTAAATACTATTTGTTCATTTTAATAACAAATCAAAGGGAAGATCAGGTGACAAATGTTTTATTTCCATAGTAAAATGATATATTGCTGAATGTAAATTCCTTCTGTTGTAAGTACGAGTCAAAAATACACATATGTGTTGGTAAAAGAGTTACATACTTTGGCATATTCATTAGAAGCAGCAGTGTATTTTGTAAGATATCTAGGGTTTTCTAAATTGACACTATTTCAGATTGTGAAATATTTGTCCAGTAACTAGTTAAGTAGCTTCCTTTGATCTGTCATTTGCAAACTGTTTTTGTTCAAATGACCTGGCAGTAGAATCTATCGTCTTCTTTGCGTTTGCAGTAAACCGAAATGTTAGAAGTTGCTGAACACTTAGTTTACTTCTAAGATTATGATCAAATCACTGGCATTGGCTTGTGAAGCTTCAGGAGAAAAAAACTTTTTAATGATTTACATCATCAGCATCCTGCTAACCCAGCCTTTTCTGAAACAAACACCTTCAAAATAACCTGTATAAATTGTAGATGTAGTAGCTTATTATTTAGATCTTCCCCCAAGAGGATAATGGTACAACATTTTAAAGTATTCAGATGTAAAATTGATATTGCAACTCTAGTAAAACTGGGTCTCTTTGGAATGGTATGTATCTCTCCTAGGTGGATATTAATGGAACAACAGTGCAAGGAGCTCTGTGGGAGGAGATGGGCTAACCCTGATGTCCCCATAGTAGATGTTATAGGCTGTACAGACACAGGGAGCAGAGTGGCAAAAGCTTTCTTGCTTTCTTCTAGAAGAGTGGTTTTCAACTTGCTTCTAGGAGATCTAGAATCTTGAAAGATTGACCTTCGAGTCACTTGCTCCTACCACATCTCTTGGTGGGAAATCATTCTAGAAGGCAATGTAGACCTTACTAGCTTCATGAATAAGCTTACTAGGTATCCCAGCCCTGCTACCCAACCACTGGCAATTCTTATATTCTATCCTGGATTCTGCATGCTCATCAAGGGACCCACATTGCCATGGCCATTCCAGAAGCCAAGGAGTTCATCCAGAACCTTCAGAAGGGTCAACCACCCTCCACCCCCATTTCCACCAGCACAGGGAATACTCATTATCAGATTACCGGAGATCATGTGCTTAGTATTTTTGAACTTTGGACTCTCTTACTGGTTTTAAGAGTTATCTACTTGAACAGGGGTGTTTGCAACTTTTGTCTGTTCTGCTCTTAAAATCTTTCATTACACCGACTTGTATGAATTTTGGTATAAATGCCACTTCCCCATGATTCACTGTCTTTTAGGTAATTCAGTGTCTCCACTGGGCACTTTTATTTTGAAACAGAAAAGTTCAGTAGACCAATATATTAAAGATGTATTCCATGATATACAAATCCTTGGAGATGCTCAGTGAAGAGAAGGTTGCTATGGTCAAATGTATTTGGGAAAAATTGCGTCTGTTTTGGTGATTCAAAATGCGCATTAGAAGGGCAAAGTTGTTAAGTATTTCCTAAACTTATTTGATCATACAGTTCCTCCTCCCTCCCCCTCCCCCTTCCTCCCTCTCTCCCTTCCTTCCTTTCTTTTTAGTAACATTGATTATCTAAGGCTTTATGGGAAATATTTTGGAAAACATTGCATTTGCCTGTTTAAAAAAAAATCAGTAGGGGATAATTTCTACTTTTCTCTATATTCCAGATCCAGCACAGGGTCTGGCACAAGGAGAATATTCGTGTGTTTGTTAAATTCAAGTGAACAAGAGAATATACCAATCAGATGCCAGAATATTGTATTGAAAGTTATTTTTAAAAATCACACCAGTTATTTGGTACCAAGTGTTTGGGAGTTTTACAGAAAGAAGCTATTTTAAAATTGAATTAAATGAATCCATTCTGGGTATAGGGATTAGAATCACAAAATGTCAGATTCGGGACAAGACCTGGTAAGCAGCTAGTCAGCATTTTATAGACAAGGTACAGACACAGAAAAGGCATTATTTTTCATACTGAATTTACAAAGGGGTTGACAGTGTTATGCTCAAGCAATTTAAATATAGCAGTAGAGATTGTGAGCTCTGGGTTCGAATCAGGTAGGCTCAAACCCTGACTTTGCTACTTGCCGGCTGAGGGAAGGTAGGCAATGTATCTCTGCCTCAGTTTACTCATTTGTAAAATAGTGATGGTAACAGTCCTCACCCCACAGGGCCGGTGTGATGACATAATCAGGTTAAACATGTAAACAGCTAAGCACAGTATCTGGCACATGGAAAAAATCTTATGGATTAATATTATTAAACACATCAGCCAGGATTGCACAGTCAATATAAAATTAGAGATGACATAATTCTACAGAGAATTTGAGAGACCCTGAAATTGGAAATGTGTATGAGGAACAAGAAATTACCCATGTAAGGGAGGTAGGTCTCCATATTGATAGCCCCCGTACTGGGCCATTTGTAGCTTTTTTGTGGGGGAAGATGAGTCCATTATGGTTTGAAAGTACAACATACATCCTCCTGGTTTGGGGTGGTGGGTGGGCACTCTACCCGTCTGGGCATTTTGTGACCAAGGCAGAATCCTTTTTGCTCACCCAAAAGTCCCTGGGATACCGCACATTTTAGAGAAGCCACCGAAGGAAGAAAATCCCCTCTCTGTGAGGTAGACGAGAGCGAAGCCCCATTCCCTACCTGAACGGGTAGGCAAACACTACGTCAATGCTGAGGTTACTTTCCGTCTTGTTGAGGCAGTCCACACTCAGCCGCAGGCCTCCAGAATAGCCACCGCATGTTGCAAATGCAAAGATGGCAAAAAGCTGTGGATAGAGAAGCAAAGGACAAGGCAGCAATTAGGATGCCATTGACTCAATCAGGTATACCAGTAGGGGCCTAGTGTCTAGAACGAGGGAGCACCATGCTTGCCCAGACTGGAGGATGAGGGCCAGAGTGATGACGGGGTGGGCAGATGGTGTCCGAAAGAAGTCTGACAAGCTAATTTTGCCTGGAAAAAAAATTAGAGACAAAATAACCACGTTTGAGTGTGTAAAAGCTTCCATGCCTTACGGAATATAGATATGATGTTACAGTCAAAGGATCTGGAAGGCCATGTTCCAAGGGCTTAACAGTGGGTATCTCCAGGTCTGAAGAACTTAGGATGTCTCCTTGCTTTCTTCTTTTCGTTTACCTGTATTTTCTGCAATAAACATGTCATGCCTTTAGAATAACATGGATAGGGGTTTTTTTAAGCATAGAGAATTCTAGAGCTAAAAGGGTTGAGGAAGAGTAGGTGAGTACCTATGAGGTGCTATTTTAGAGCATAACATCTCAGGATATTTCAGCCTCAAACCCCCACTGGTGGTTACATCTCTGTGCTGTTGTTGTTGTTAGATGCCATCCACTCGGTTCCGATTCATAGCAACTCTATGTACAACAAAAAAAACACTGCCCGGTCCTGTGCCATCCTCATAATCATTGTTAAGCTTGACCCCATTGTTTCAGCCACTGTCAATCCATCTCATCTTCCTCTTTTTCACTGACCCTCTACTTCACTAAGCATGATGTCCTTCTCAGGGACTGTTCCCTCCTGATAACATGTCCAAAGTATGTGAGATGTAGTCTCACCATCCTTGCTTCTAAGGAGCATTCTGGCTGTACTTCTTCCAAGACAGATTTGTTTATTCTTCTGGCAGTCCACAGTATGTTCAATATTCTTTGCCAACACCATAATTCAAAGGTTTCCATTCTTCTTTGGTCTTCCTTATTCATTGTCCATTATTCATGTCTGTGTTGGTTGCTATTTATAAGCCCACTATTAAAAGATTCAACTAGTTTCCAGTTAGTATCAGTCTATCTTGCTCCAGAACATGGAGCTGTGGGGAACGAGGTACTGAAAATTAGGAACAGGAACTCAGGGAAGTCTTCGAGAAGGAAGAGCTGCCTAGGAAGGCAGGGATGGCCTGAGATGGGAAGTTAACAAATGTCAAACTTTGTCAATTCATAGTTTACCCGTTGCCGTCCAGTCCATTCTGACCCACAGCAACCCTACAGTATGGAGTAGAACTGTCCCATAGGGTTTCCACAGGAGCAGTTTGTGGATTCCAATTGCCAACCTTTTGGTTAGCAGCCAACCGCTTAACCATTGCACCACCAGGGTCCCATTGCACCACCAGGGCTAGACTCAAAAGAATTTTCTGTGTATTCCCAAAGGAAGCCAGTCAAGTACACTTATTATATGCACTTAATACTCAGATTGATTTCATTTTAATTTTGGAATTCAGCTTCTTGCAGTATCTTGGATCTCTATTGGGAACACTAGTTCACTTTGCATAGTGAGAGGAGTTATTGTGTAGGGATCAAGTGCGTGGGCGCTGAATGACCTTAAAAAGTTACTTAATTTCCCCATGCCTTGGTTTCCTCATCAGTAAAATGGTGTTGAGGGCGACTCCTCTGGGTCGTCTTGCTCTTTGTGATATGAGACAGACAGTTGCTGTGGGTGTCATTAAAGCAGTGAACAGAAGGATGCTGGGGCTGACAAGGTCACCAAGTCTGTCCAGAAAGTCCAAAAGGCTAAATGAATATTATCTATAACACTGCCATACAACCTCAGTCAGTGGTGGAAGACTATCTCAGAACTGCTTGTCTCAATTGCCCATAAAAATTCAATAGGAAAAGACTGGTTAATGATAACAATGTATCACAAAACCTTCAGAGGGAAAGGAATGATTTGTGGACTTTTCTTTTTAAGATAGTTTTAAATTATTAGATTTTAAAATCAGTACTTTTGAAATGGAAACAATTTGACCAAGAGAAAGACTTGACCAAAAGATAGATACAGTCAGAGAAAAATGTATCAGTATGTGTTAACCTTGGCAAAGAGTAAGCACTTAATACAGGTTAAGGAATATAATTACTGTAAACAGATGTGGATGTGTCCCTCAGTAAAATGGTCCAGGCCATATAATCATTTAGACCTAATCCCTGGCTTCATCTATATGGCCATCTGCCCTAGTCAGGCAACATCCAACCAGTCCAGACAACCAGTCTATCTTTTTCTTTTCTTTCTTTCTCTTTGCTTTGTTTGCTTTTCTTTCTAGTTTTCTTAACTGGTGTGACTTGAAAAGGCATTCAAAAGTTATTTCAATCCACTTTAACAAAACAAACAGTTGCAGTAGAATCCATTCTGACTCACGGCAACCCCATGTGTGTCAGAGTAGAATTATGCTCCACAGGGTTTTCAATGGCTGATTTTTCAGAGGGAGATCACCAGGCCTGTTTTTTTCTGAGGCACCTCTGGGTGGACTCGAACCTCCAAACTCGTGGTTAGCAGCCAAGCACATTAACCATTTGCACCACCAGGGACTCCCCAACTCACTTAACAAAGGCGATGATGTTTAGCAAATGGGATCAGGGAGCAAACCTGATCTTCATCTCCGTGGCACAGATTTGCTCACGTCTCATGACCAAATGTTCTCTTCCTGTCAGCTCTTGGTATTGGTAGGAAAAAGGAGGAAGAGATTTTAGATGTTCAGTGCTTAAATTTAGGTTTCTTTATATAATTCTGGCTGTTCCAGTCCCTTGTGCCATGACAAAATATCTTTATGGGTAAGACTTCTTCCAGAAGAAAGAATGGAGTCATGGGGTCCTAAGGCCTGCACTATGGCTGTGGAGATATTCCTTCCCCAAGTTTCCTCATTTGTAAAACAGATATATTCCTTATATATCCCCTGTATGGTTAAGAATTAAATGAGATGGACTATGTATTTATGTACTAAAGCAAAAAAAACAAAAAACAAAAAACAAAACCTATTACTATCAAGTCTACTCCGACTCATAGCGATCCTATAGGACAGAGTAGAAATGTCCCATAGGGTTTCCAAGGAGCAGCTGGTAGATTCGAACTGCTGACCTTCTGGTTAGCAGCCGTAGCTCTTAACCACTAAGCCACCAAGGCTCAATTTATGTGCTAGCCCCTCCCAGTTTCTGCTGAGGTTGTGCGGTATTCACATCTGTGTGCTTCTCTGGTGCAAGAGTCCTAACTGTGCCATCGGCACTTGTAAAATAGAGAGGGGCCGGTCATTGTGGCCATGTTCACTGCCTACAGTGGGCCAGGTATTGTGACCGGAATTAACATCTGTCATCATACTTCCTCTTGGCAACAGTGTTGTGAGGGGTGTGTGTGTGTGTGTGTGTGTGTGTGTGTGTGTGTGTGTTCACGTGAAGGTTAATGTTTCTATAGTTAAAGACACTGCAGAATTGCATTGTTGTTTTAGCTGCCACTGTGTCACTCTCCTCCCTACCCCCAGACTCATGGTGGCCCCATGACAACAGAACGAAACAATGCCTGGTTCTGCACCATCCCCATGATCAGCTGCGGGTCAGACCACGGTGATCATGCGATCTTCACTGGCTGATTTTTGGGAGCAGACCGTCAAGCCTTTCTTGCTAGTCCATCTAAGTTTGAAAGCTCTGCTGAAACCTGTTCTACATCCTAGGAACACATAAGCCTCCATTGACAGACAGGCGGTGCCTGCACATGAGGTGCATGGAATGGTGGCTTCGAACACTTGTACTTTAAAATGTTACTTGGGGCCTTAAAATGTGGCAAAGTAAGAGTTGAAAAGCGTAAAAACAAATCTTGTTAATTTCTGTGCTTAATAGCTATAAAGAAACTACCCTTGGCTTTTCATCTTATGTTAAACTGCTCTGCATACAGTAAGGTATCATTAACACTACTATGTAATGAACTTAAGATGGAGCAATCGGTATGTATTAAAATACTTCAAAATGTTAGCTGCATGGAAAGAAAACGTCAGACTACTGAAACCACATACGCCACTATTTTTTTTTTTTTTTAAGCCTCTACTGAGCTCTGAAAACACAAGATATTGTACTAGAGTTAACTATGATACTAGGGGCTTTCTGGTTAAGTTTCTGCCTTCCCCACAGTCCTACTGATTAAAGGGAAATCGCACTGTGTGACCGATAGCAAATTCACATGGGTTTGGTGAGGATTAAGCAGATAATATCAGTGTAACACGGAAAGAGGTACATCCTGCTGAGGGAATAGCTTATCACAGGGTTGGGTGATTCCAGAGTTGGGGGAGTGGATTCAGCTCCGCCAGGGACTATCAGCAGGGCCTGCTCCTGTAACTGGAACACAGCAGACACAGCAGGGGGGGCACTGGAGGCTCTTGGAGGGGCGGTGCAAGATTCTCTTCATGTAGCAGAGAAATACAGAGTGGGAAGAAATTCGGGAAATCCTCCCACCCATTCCCCTCCCAGGATGCCACCCAGCCACTCCACCCCAGGTGGAGCAGAGCTATCTGGAGTTAGGTGGACCTGAGTTTGAGTCCAGTTCCTAATTCTCTGACCCCGGGCAAGTTACTTGACTTCTCCAAATCGCAGTTCCTGCATCTACTAAATCAGGAATCATTCATTGGTTCATTCAGCAGATGTTTAACTATGCACCTACTGTGTCCCAGCTGTTGGGGACAGAAAGGTAGAAAAGTCAGAGAAAAGGCAGAACTTAATGGGGAGACAGAACCAAAAAGAGCATACAAATCAGATAACTCCAAACTGTGCCCAGTCTTCTGAAGGGAAGCTATGCCTGAGGGGAGGATATGCCTGCGGATGTCACAATGAAGCTAAGACCTTAAGAACGAACAAAAGGAAGACATGCAAACAGTGAAGAAAGGGTGCTGGGGCAGAGGGAACTATTTACACAAAAGTCCTGAGAGAAGAAAGGTTTGCAAGTTCAGGGAACCAATGGAAGACCAAGACGGCGGTCTGGTAGTGAGAGAGGTTGAGAATAACAGTA